TACAAGTTCACCCATGCAAAAATTGTATTATGCTGTTGATATCTTTAAATGTGAGAGTTTTTATTTTCTGAAGAATTCTCAGAAATTGGATCCTTGCCCAGTAGAAAGGAAGTCAAATATGAGGACACCATATTTTTAGTCATTTTACTGCAGTTCTATGATTCTGATCAGTCGAAGGTTTCTCATTGATCATATATGTCAAGTTCAGTATATAAAGGATGATTAGAAAAAGGTAAGGGTGATAAAAACAATAATGGTGAAGACAAGCCATGCTATTTTGTAAATTTTGCTTTGTATTTCCAATGGTGTTTAATGTGACAAGGATTGTTTTTATCTGAGTCACTGCACTGGACATGACTGCAAGAGCTCATCATCATATTTCACTGTGGTGTATCAAAACAGTCCGTGAGTAGAATATCTTTGAATGTGAAGGTCTAGCGCAGATGAAGTCATTTAAATATGAGTAGAGAAATGCATGCAGTAAAGTTTTAACAGAGTAGAGTTAGATCATGGATGCAGAAATAATGTCATCAGTAGTTTTGAGTTAAGTAGGCAGTACTTAGTAGTAAGTTGTAATAGCAGTAAGTAATAGGGTCAGTGTTAGCATTAGCAGAGGCTATACTGGCAGGTGACAGAGGAGCCGGAAAAGGGTAGTGGAAGGAGAGGAAACCAGATTTTCATTATAAAATGTTCCTTAGAAATCACATCAGCCCCAAGAAGTAAGAACTTCTATTAAACAATATGTCATTTTTGTCATTTTCTTTTCCATTTTAGTTGGCCTTGTTTATTGGGTTTATTATAGATGATGATTTTTCCTCAGAATCCCACTGTGATTATAAGCCTTCTTAGCTTACTAGGTTAACTATGGATTGAAATCTCTAAAAATTCTCCCTGTCTTCAACTCCTCTCCTACATCTCTTCCTTTCTGGGGACTTAATTTACTCTCTGGTTGACAAAGAAAACTGAACCATGTAGTGCAGGTGCCATCGAGTTTCCTTTCCCCTTTACTCCTCAAAGCCAATGTCTTTAACCTTTCTCTTTTCTTTCCTGGCTGTCTTTAAGAAAAACCTGTCTATGTACCTAGCTGAACAATTCATCCTTCTTCCTAGGTGCTTATTCCAACTCCTTTCTATGTCTGTCTCTCAAAATTTTCTCCATTAATGCCTCAGGCTAAAAATTATATTGAATTGTTCCCCTTTCTTCCTAAAATAAGTCAAACAAAATCGTCTCTGGACACCCTGCCTTAATTCTGCCTTATGCTCTCCCAAATATGAGCTTCTACTGTCCTGGTTCCCTGCCATTCTCTGCTATCAACAATTTTACCACCCACTTGGTTCCAGTGGTTTTTTGCATAATACTCTATGTGGAAGCAGATGTTCCATGGAAGAGACATAGAGGCCCACTACAAGGAGTAAGACAGTGGGCAGCAGATAAGTTAGATTCTCCATCCTTAAGCAGAAAAACTGCCAGAATAACTGTTTTACACATTTAACATATTTGGTTCTGGTGTTTTAAAAATATTGCAGAAAGGTTAAGTGACTTGTTCAAGATTAGTGGCAGATTGAGAGCTAATTCTTGGGTCTTCTGAATTGATTTTCCATATTTCATTTATATTACTTAGGCATTACAAAGGGGACATTTTTAGGTAACAAAATTTTTCATTAAATGGTCATAAAGGTTTTTTTTTTCCTCATACCAATATAATTTTAAGTTATCAAGTGGTTTCTGTCATAAAATATTTAGTTTTCTCCACTCAGAATGATGCACAGGCCATGGTTATTGGGGCCTTCTTCATTTAAGCCAGTCTTTTGTGTGTGATGTGAAGAGACTTGATTCTACACTGATCTGGAAGATGATTTTCAGTTCCTGGCAATGTTGTAACTAAAATCAAAGTTGGAATAATGGCAAGCTTCAGATTGTGTCAGAAGACAGCTTTGATTTGAGGAAATTCATTGAGATACCTAAATCCTAATCTAAGAAACTATCTTCTCCTTCCTAATTAGTCAAATTTCTGGGAGTAGAAGAGAGTTTTCCAGAATTGATCTTATGGACATTGTTGAGATAATTTTTGCTATTTCTAAGCCTGACACCAGAGACAAAAAGAACATCTTCCTTCACTACCTTCATTATCCTGACCCTTTTCTGTTTGAACTCTGAACCATTCATTTCAACTGAAAGTGCGTAAGTGTTTCCAGAATGTTTTTGGTTCTGGAACATTCTGGCAATAGGTGTTTCACAAAAGCAAAAGATTTAGGGAATAAAGAATATGGCTGCACATTTTAGATAAATTCTTTCCTATGTTTTATGATCTATCAAGGAATCAGATGTTTTGGGTTATGAATATTAACGTTAGGTCAATGAATACAATGTGATTAGAAACCTTGTACCTCCTTTTGACATAGCTGAACAGCAAAAATGACCTGAAATGTTTCACGAGAAATTAATACTTATGGTTATACTTAAAGGAAATAATGTGGAATGTTGATGCAAAATACAACAATTTGATGTACTTTTATGTATCACAATAACTTTAAATTATTATTAAATTACAAATTAGTTAAAAATAAACTAATGAGACACAGGTATTTTAACAATGTGGTTTTGGAGGTAAAAAAAATCCACTTTGTTTTTTTACCTCTCAATAGTCTAAGAGTACAGTTGCTTTTTCCTAATCAACTTTGTTCTGTTTTGCACACCGTGCTCAATAAGCAAGCTTCTTTCATTTGCTGAGTTTTTGAGTTATCTCGCACTTTAATTTTTTACTCACTTTGCAGTCACAAGATGAGAAATGTAGACACTGTGTACAAACAAGAATTTCGTGCAAAGTCAAGCTCTGGAAACCACATGCAAGACTCAGTGGCACATGGTTTAGAGCTCACACACTCCAGGGTCATGTAAGACAGGCATGCAGATGAAAGAAAAGCACCTACATCATGAAAATAGAGGATGATGAAAGAGAATGACATTTTCTTTATGACAATTATCTAATGCAAACCGTATACCCATAACCTTTACCAGAGTGGAGGAAGGAGCGGGTAAGTGACTGTTTGTGGGATGGGGAAACTGTATACATATATTACTAGAGGTCAAGATATTTTTAAAGTTAAGAATTTCTGTTCTGTACTTGGCCTCTTCCAGGTTGTCTTCCCCAGTTTCTTGCTTTGTATTTCCTCTGCTACATCATGCAAAAAATATCAGAACTAGCATTGGAAATCATTTAACAAGCTCTAAACCTGACAGATAACAAGGGTGTTCTCCACAATTTACACGAGAATTAAATTGGATATAAATACCTCCTGTTCTTACCGGTGGGTGTTGTGATTCCATGTATTAAGGTGTGAAGCAGACAGGAAAGAGATAAATCTTTCATAAGTACATTGTAAATAGCAAGTGGTATATAAACCATATTAATAGGTAATAGAGTCAAACAATGAAAGGTAAATAGTTGTCAGAAAATAGACTTTATCACAAAAAATGGCCACAAAACTAGTTATATGGAGAGGGGATGTACAATAAATAATTGTTTTACTACTGTTATTGAAATAATCTGCAGTTTGGAACAACAAAATTGAGTCACAATGTGTTTTGATTAAAAATTCTTCACACTGCTTGAGTCAACCCAGCATGAGAGAATCCCAACAGTTTCTGAATGCTGATATCTTTGTTAAACAATAATATGGATGAGAATATATAGAAGTGATCAATTGGCAGGTCCTTTCTTATGAGATTTAAGTGTTATCTTTATGAGATCCATATATAAAATGAATTTTCACAACTACTTTTGGGATAATTAGAAATAACTCATGGAATTCAGTCACAGTTTTATATGAAATGTGCTTACTGATTAGCTCATAAAATAAAAATTTTATAATGGCGTGTCCTTATTTCTCAGTCAAACAAATCACACAGAACTTTGATAAGCATCCATATATAAATGTCTTCCAAATTAGGCAGTATTTGCCATGCTTTCTGCATTTTGATTGCTAGTTTTGAACTTTTGGTTTTTTCTTGAATGTTACTGATTAAATAGAAAAAAATGACAAACTAAATTGTACAGGCTCACTTAGGCAAAAATTATGTTATGCTTTTGATGTCATTAAATGTGAGTGGTTTTATTTTCTGAGAAATTCTTAGAAACAGGTCCTTGCCCAGTGAAGGAATAGCAAGGTGGTAGAGCATTTTTTATCTCTTTTCAATAGGTCTGTGATTTGCCATAGAATTTGAATCTATCACAAAATTTATCTTTAGTAATCCACCTCAATAGGTGAACAGATAGGTCAAAAGAATGTGTGCATTTATCCTAATAATAAAAAGAGCTCTTCAGACCACAGTCATGTTGTGTTGATTTTTAAGCATTGACAGAGGTTGGAAGAGTTATGCTTAGAAGTTTGCTTAAAAGTTATGAAGCAATCCATATTTCCCCCTTGAAAGGAAAGATGCATTAAACCAGATACAATAAAAGGGCACATCGTTAATTGCTTAAAATATAGAAAGGTCCTTAAACAGAAGCATGACATTTTCTATCATAAAATGTTTATGGCTTAAGTACCTAAGCTCCCTAATAAACCTTTAGAGCATCCTGGGTTTTTAAAAGACTGTTCATATTGGATTTCTGTCTGGGGCTTTATAGTTGTTACTGCTTACTTGCCGTATCTTCATGCACATGGGTACAACTATTTTTGTGGGTGCTGACAGCGGGCCATGTGGTGACAGCCCAAGTCCCAGATGAGCAATGCTCTCTCTAATCAGAAGTGGGAGGTCTACACACACAGTTATATCAGTTTGCATCACGTTATAATGCCTTTGCCACACAGTATAACTAGATATAGCATCATGCAATGCCATGAATTGAAAATGAGAGACTATCTCCAGGGGAGAAAATAAACATCCGAGAGAGGAAAACAAAAGCAAGGGGTCAAAGCTGGTGAGACCGGCTTTTCCGTTCTGGCTGCAGCTCTAATGCCTGTGTCACTTCCGTTTTGGAAAACAGAAATACATACCATGTTCATGTCAATGCCATTGGTGTATGTCCACGCATGCTGGAAGTACTCTTCAAGCCGTTGCCTCAGAGGGTTGGGGATTTGGTGAAAGCGAATGAACTCTTTTACTCGCAGCATCTGCATGTGGTACCTGGCAGTTCCCGAATATAGTCTTTGGATAATTGCAGACACGTTCCCAAAAATGCTTGCGTACATTAGGGCTAGATTGGATAAGAAACAAAGTTATGGGGGCAGACTGCACGTGGGCATATTATATCTTGTCAGACTCTCAAGTCTGTAGGTTTCTGATGATCTTAACTCCAGTTGTGAGGCTTTACCACTGGCCCATGTGGAAAAACGAAGGCAAGCCAATACTATTGTACATGTTAGAACTTTGATGACAAGCCTGGATGGGGATAGTATCCAAATTCACCATGGATTCTTAACTAGAGTAAAAACTCAGGTATTTACAGTATCAGCCTGTGACCTAGAGGGCTGACTGGAAATAAAATGCACTGGCAATCATATTTTGTTTGTATATTACTACATATTTTGTTTGTATATTACATATTTTGTTTGTAATATACTAAGAAGGTCTGTCATGGGGTTACAGCAGATTGTTTTTCTGGAATAAGCATTAAAAGGTTGAATTTTAAACTGGGACATCTCTGCCTCTTAGCCTTAAACCTAACCTTATAATATTATTATAAACCTTAAGATTATTTTGAATACTTCAGATTTTTCTAAGGAATGATAAATTGTTTTAAAGAACTCACAGATTCCTTGGAATATTTATTTGTACATACAATTTTTAATCTATCAAAATTCAATTTTCCAGTATTTCTACATGAGAAACATACCTCTGGCTTAGAATATGAGAATATAGCTTTATTTTTATAGAGAAAAATAGAATACATTTTGTTCTTTCATCTGTGGGAAGAATGAAACTGCCATGACAACCCCTGCCATATATCTAGTATTTAGGTGAAATATCATTTTTAGTGCTCCTGGGACTAAATATTTATGATTTAAGCTTTTTAAGCAACTTCTCTTTCCTTTTAGATTTGTATTCAATTTATAATAATCCTTAAAAACTAGTTCGTCCAGAAAGTCACACCATGTAACCAGTTTATATTTTGATCTTTGGGCCTGTGTCACAACCTTAGAGAGGACATAACATGTTTAAGGCACCAAAACTGCAACACACCAGGAAGGTGGGGGAAAAACAGCTTATAGTGTGTGCTTCCACTGTATTCAACCAACCCATTTTTTTCCCCACAGTGCATTTTATAAATCATTACCTCTATAAACCACTTAATCATTCTTAAAGAAGATTCTGGCCCAATTTCAGCTAAGTATTTAAAAAGAACTTATCTTCTTGTTCATTTGCTTATCTTTGTCTCTTCGTCTCTATGGTCCTCGTTTACCAGAGAAGGTCCCAAGAAAGAATGTTCCAGAGAAACATTAGTTACTGCCCATTAACTGACATAAAATATGAGTTGAAAGCAAGTTGGCTGACTATATGTAAGCATTTCTCTCCTTGAGTCAATATTTTATTTAGCTTTCCTTAATAGAGAGTTCTTATTTCATTAAAGTGATTTGCTTTAGGCTTAGACATTGTAGAATAAAACAGGTATATCTTAAGAACTTCCTTCAGCGCACCAAACCCAAAATTTGGTATACTAACCAAACTAATGAATTTAGTTGGTCATTGGGTATTAGCTGAAACAGGTAATAGAACAAATACATTTGCTTTCCTACCTATTATTTAAGCTTCAAAAAACATTGTAACTTAAACAATACATTTTATTGATGTGCAATTTACATATAATGAAAAGAATCCATTTTCAGTATGTAATTCAGTTAATTTTGACAAAAGCATATGCCCTGTGAACTCAAGATACAGAACATTTCTGTCACCCCAAGGGAGAGACTGCCCACCGATGTCAGATCCCAGACAACCACTGAGCTCCTTTAAGGCATTACAGATGAGTTTGCATTCTTGGATTTCATCTCAGCGGACTCCTAATGTACATATTCACTTATCTGATTTCTCTTGCTCAGCATAGTTATTCTTGAAGTTACTTCTGTTCCTGTTTGTTTCAGTAATTTGTTCTTTTTTTATCGCTGAGTAGATTTGCATCGCCTGGCTCTCCCAGTTTACCTCTCTCTCTGTTGACAGAAATCTTCTTGTTTCTAGCCTTTGGCTGTTATGAACAAAACTGCCATGGACATTTGGGTACAAATCTTTGTGTGTGGGCATATATTTTCATTTCCTTTTTAACTATCTAGGAGTGGAATTCCTGAGTTGTGTGATATGTTTAACTTCAAAAGAAATTGCCAAACTATCTCTTCATTTCACACTCCCACCAGCAGCAGATGAGAATGTCAGTTGCTCCACAGCCTCTCTGACGTGGGTGTTGTCAGTCTATCCTTTTAACCTCACAGTGGATGGACATTGCAGGAGGGCTTTAATTTCCATTTCCCTGATGGCTGAGAACACCTTTCCATGTACTTATTAGCCATTCTTACATCTTCTTTTGTGAAATGTCTGTTTAAATCTTTTGCTCATTTTTAAATTGTCTTCTTATTAGGAAATTGTGAGAATTCATGATATATTCTGGATACAAGTCCTTTCTCAGATCTGAGTATTGAGGGTATTTGCTTCCAGTTTATCATTTGCCTGTTCCTTTTGTCAGTGCCTTTGAAAATTTCGTTTCAAATTTTAATGAAATCCAGTTAATCATTTATGTTATGGCTCAGGATTGTTTTGGTAATTTGTGTTTTTCAAAGAATTTGTCCATTACTTCTAAATCATCCTATTTGTTATCATAAAGTAATTTATGATATTATTCTCTTATCCTTTTTATGTCTTTAGAATGAATAGTAAAGCTTTTCTGTCATGCAGGAGATTCGCCTTCTTATTCTCTCTTTAGTCTAGTTGGAGGTTTATCAATTTTATTGATCTTTTTTAAAAGCCTCTTACAAATTTTGATACATTTTATTGTCACTGAGTTCAAATTGTTTTCTAATTTTCCTTGTGATGTTTTTTCTTTAAAACGAGGGTATTCGGATTTGTGTTACTTAATTTCCAACTGTATCTGTCTATTGCTCTTTCTTTTCTCTCTCTGTTTAATTTTTTTTTCTTACTAATTTCTGGTTTCTCTTGTCAGAGAAATACTCTGTATGATTTAATATTTTAACTTTATTGAGATTTAATTTTGGTCCAGAATCCAATCTGTCTTTGTGATTTGTTTTGTAGTCCAATGTATTGTCTCTCTTAGTGAACGCTCTGCATATGCTACAAAAGAACATGTATTCTGTAATTGCGTTGAAATATGCTACCAACCTGATGTTTTCCCCTCATACACGATGTGCCTTCTTTGATCCTCTAGTTGTTTTTAAGATTTTTTTTCTCTTTTTCATTGCTTTTCAGTGATTTGACTATGATGTGCCTTGGTGTGTGTGTGTGTGTGTGTGTGTGTGTGTGTGTGTGTGGCCTATTTGGATCTGTGGACTATAGTTTTCCTCAATTTTGGAAAATTTTCAGCTGCTGAAACTTTTTTTTTCCTGCTTTCCTCTCCCACTTTTTGGGAGTTCACATACACATTTGTTCAAATACTTAGTATTGTCTGCTAGTTCCATCATCTCTGTCATTCCACTTCTGGGCTTATTTGTTTGTTTATTGTGTTTTTAAAGGTGTAATTGACATGCAACACTCTATTAGTTTCAGGTGTGCAACAGAATTATTTGATACTTGTATGTATTGCAGAATGATCACCACACTAAGTCTAGCTGACATTCATCACCATACATTGTTACAGATTGTTTTTCTTATGATGGAAACTTTTAAGATTTACTCTTCCTAACAACTTTAAATTATGAAACACAGTACTATTAACTACAGCCACCATGCTGTATATTATATCCCCATGAGTTATTTTTAAGTAGAAATTTGTACCTATGACTCCCTTTACCCATTTCACTCACTCTCCATACCCCATCTCAGGTGACCAATCTTTCTGTATCTACAAAGCTTGGCTTTTTTTTTTAGATTCCACACGTAAGTGAGATTGTATGGTATTTCCCTTTCTCCATCTGACTTATTTCACTTAGCATAAAGTCCTCAATGTCCATCCATTCTGTCACCAATAGCAAGATTTCATTCTTTTTATGGTTGAAATATTTATAAATAAATAAATGTTCATTTATTTATGTGTGTAGATTTGTGGTTTCTTGAGGTGGGGAGTAGTGGAGAGTGGGTGAAATGGGTGAAGGGAGTCAAAGGTACAAATTTCCATTTATAAAATAAATAATTCAGGGAGGATGTAAGGTATAGCATGGTGACTATAGTTTATATATAATTATGCAATATATATCTATATATACACACACACTGTCTCACACACTATTTCTTTATTGGTCTAGGTTTAAAACAAAGGGTTTTCTCCTGCTTATGCATCACATTTTCCTGTTTCCTAGCTTATCTGTTAATTTTTTAATGGATGCTGGGCATTGTAAGTTAACATTTTCATTATGTGTATTTTTAATCTTCCTTTAGAAATGTCAGATGGTGTTCTTGCAGACAGTTGAACTACTTGTAGATCAGCTTGTTCCTTTTGAGGTTTAATTTTTTAGAGCTAGACTAGCACTAATACTATGGTGCTATTTTTCTGAGATTTCTACTGAATACCCTCAATATTCAATGAAGGATTTCCACTCTGGGGGGCAGAAGGTTGAGTATCACCCCTGTATGAGCTCTGGAAATTTTGTAGCTTACAGTGCTTCTGTATTTATTTGCCAGCACTTGAAGAGTTTTACCTTATGTACTTGCAACTTAGTGTTTATCTTTAGACTCAAGGGGCTACTTATATAGTTTCTGGAGCTTTCCTCGGTCATAGCTGCCCGGCTGTCTTGCTGATTTTAGCACCTCAGCCTCCATGACCTCTGACCTTGTTTTCTTGATGCAGTGAGACCGCTGCTGTCAACTTTGGTTGCCTCTCCTCACAATACTTCAACAGGGGGCCCAGGCAGAAAGCTGTGGATATCATGGGCCCATTTTGTTTGCTTTCTTTCTCTCTGGGATCAAACTTCCCTATTGTTTGTCTCTCAGTATCTGAAATATTTGCCTTGATTTACTGGTGTGTATGTTTTAAAATTAAATGTGTATACTATATTAATAGTATTTGAATAAACATGTAAAAATGTTATGTATTAGAACACATAGATATAAATAAATGAGCATAACTTATATTTACACTTACTTATTAGCTGCTTAAATTTTCCTGTAAATATGTCCATATACATCAAACAACTAAGCAAATTTCAGGATATCCTTATCATTGTTAAGTTTTCAGTCTAATTTCACCTTTTTTCTTTATTTATGGTATAATAGTCTGTGATGGAATTTCCATGAATATTTATAAACTTTTTCCTGGGTGACATTAAGCTTTACATCACCCAGTTTGATTGTAGAAACACATCTACTATTCAAATAAAAGATATTATGTGGAATGTGGATGTATCTTACATTACCCAATTAACTAGATTGTTTTCTCTTTTTAAAAGGTGAAATTCCTCTGCAGTAAATAAGTATTTATCTTACAGATTCAATGGAAACAGCCTAGTGCTACATTTAAAAAAGAAGGAAGGAAGGAAGGAAGGAAGGGAGAGAATAAAGAAGGAAGAGGAAAAACAAAAACTACCAATAGTCCTTTGATTTAGGAATTAGACGCTGGGTATAAAGCTAGCAAAGAATTGAGTTTTCTTTAATTTAAAATAGTTCACATGATAAACAGTGCTATCTATATATTTCACTTAATGCTCACAATGCTCACAAATGGTAAGGATTTCTAAGTGTTGAACAGGTTAAACTTCTGTGAACTTCAATTTTTTTTGCAAATCCTGTTTCAAGGAGGTTTTGTTTTCTCAAAAAAGTATATATATTTTTTCTACACAAGCATTTAAATGATTTAAAACATTTTTACTTTTCTTTATCTATTCCATTAAAATTGGTAACCACTATAAAGTATTTACTAGCGGTTGTAATCACAGAATAGTTGAGACTGTATTTTCTCTGAGAGATTCAGTCTCTTGAAATATTTTTCTACTTTTTTCAGTAGGTTCCACATCTATTTCCTTCTGAGTATAATGTTACTTCTGTGTTTATAGTCAAGGCTTAGCCCAAATTGATAGAATATCTTGAATTTTTTAAATGTTATGTGTCTATACAAATCTTACTAACATCAAAACACTAAGAGATACATATGAAAAGTAAATTTGAAATGCGGTGAACAATAAACTGGGTGAATCTATTTAAGTTTTGTAAATGAAGCTTATCTGAGCACATTTCAGTAGTCAATATATTAACATTTAAAAATCAGCTTTCTGGATCTATTTTCAAATTTGTTAGCAATCTAATGATGCACGTTTTTAAGCTTTGAAACTCCATCATAATTTGTCAATTGCTGCATGGTATCAGCAAGGTTATCTTTAGTGGTAGGTAGCATGGTGTGATTAAAAAAAATAATTAACATTAAAACATTAGTTTAACACAGACTTTGTTTCTTATTTTAAAGTATATACCTTATAAATGATGCTAATGTTAATACCCCATAACAGGGTAAAGCAGAATCATGTAGGCCTTGGCATAATGTCACAGGGAAATTCATTTTTAGCCAAGGACAGGAAAATATTTACATACAGAAGATTAGCTTCCATTATAATTTAATGTATAGTTGAATATAATTTACATTATAATTAGTAGTGGTGAAATATATTTATATCTATCTACCTAGTAATGTAAGGAAAGCTAATCTTTCCCATTCTTACCTTGTCTCAGGTTGAAATAAAAAATAACCACTGATAATAAATGACAGATGCCTTTCTGCAGCAGCAAGACGGAACTTCTCGTTTCAGCTCCTGAATCCTACCACCCATGTCATTCTAGTTTTATGCTCGTAGTTTTCCAAGATCTTGAAAGACCTTTGGTGCCTGTCTTCATGAGAGAACCCAATTTGAGAGAATACACTACTCATACATGTAATCTCATTATCTCTGCAATTTTCCATAACTTTTTCTTTGCCTTAAGCTAAATGTTCTAGAGATGTCAATTTTGTGATGTTATTGTATCCTAGTAGATAACAAAAGAGAAGTTTACTTACAGCCAATCAACATGACACAAATTGAAAAGATTTTCTCCGAATTGGTGTTAGGAGACACATTCCCGAATCCTACACTGGTTAGACTGCTGAAGGTAAAATAAAGTGCTGTGACATATTTGTCCTTAATGGATGGTCCAGAACTTGAATCACTGTCATTGTAACGTTTCCCAATTTGTTGTCCTAAGGAATCCAACCATCCGATTTTGTCAGTCAGGTAGGGCCTCTCTACATTCCCAATTGCATACCATATGCAAGCCAGCCAGTGAGCAATCAGGGCAAATATGCACATTAAGAGCATTAAAACAGCAGCACCATATTCCGAATAGCGATCAAGTTTTCGGGCCACTCGCACAAGACGAAGAAGTCGAGCTGTCTTCAAAAGACCAATTAATGTTGTTGTCTGTGGAAATAAATGTGCATGGTCAGAAACAGCTGGCAAACAATGTTCCCATGCAGCAAAGTAAATAGAAACAGGCTAAAACAATACGGCAGCACTGAAGATAGCTATATATTCAAATTAACTATTAGTTTTTTGCCTGCTTTGGAAAATACTTAGAAAGTGTGACATGCAAGACCCATGGGACACAGACTCTATTTTATTTATGCTTTAACTAAGTACCTTGCACATGAAGGGTACTCGATAGGTCATTACTTCATCAACAAACAGTCCAGTGTATTGTGGTTGTGCCTAACACTGGCATTATGGTGTTGAACAAACAGACATGCTCTGTTTCCAATAGAAAGAGGCAGTTATTTACTAGAAACAGTGTCTTCTCTAATGAAGAGAAACAAGATTCACTGTCTGTTGGGGATAGATGGATATTTTCAAAATAAATAATGAGATCATTTCAGAGAGTGAAAAGTGTGATGATGATGATAAAACAGAGTAGTATGATAGAGGAGGTTTGGGGGCAAGGGCTGGGGTGGGGACAGCCTGCCAAAGGAAGACCCACAGGCTCTGGCTGCTGAGTCGGGAAAGTCCTGCATAATGAGAAGGAGCCGGTCAAGCAGCTGACTGGGACACTTTTTGGATGGCTGCATGCATGCATTAGGCACTGTATTTAAATTCATTTTTCCTTCCTAAATGGGTTAAACTGGTAAATTATTTCTTGATATCCAATGATAGTATGTATTTTGCTTTGGGGTGTGATATGTGTAACTAATTGTATGATTATTACTGACCAGGTATCTAATGATAGGACACTTCCATATAATAATAGGATACTTAACTAGTTGTTTAGATTTGAAATCTGATAAGTACAAATTACAAGTTCATTTCTTAGGTTTCCTCAATAATGTCAACTATAAGTACTATATAATTCACAGGGCATATAATTATTCCATAGTTACATGGTGTTTACCAATCAATTATTGAGTCATTTCATGTTCATTGTTGGTGTTTATTTCACAAAGTACATCCAAGTGAATTAACAACACATATTTTAATTAAGGACAGAGCATATGGCATAACTCTCACCCTGTATCTATTCATACTGACTTGATAAAAAAGACCATGAAATATCAAGAAAAATCTTTTCATTAAAGTTCTGTGAAATAAGTGTTGTAGTTTTCTCTTCTTGTGCTAGAGTGGTCACAAGGGAAGGGAGATACCCCGTGAATTCTTCCCAGTTAGTATTGGAACCCTCCAGAGATGAGAGGAGCTGGTAGTGGAGATGAGATGCGCTTATCACAGTTGAACTCTGGCCTTTGCACATTTAGGAATAGGTGGAGAAGTAGCTCTTCTCTGTTTCCAATGCTGAGGTATTATCTTTTAGGGTGCAATGAAGGAAACATTGTTCTTTTTTTTATTCACAAGTTTAAAATTATATCTCTTCTCAATGAATAAATGGAGAGTCTAAGTCTTAGGCGGTTCTGGGGAGAGAGCCAACTTTACACTATTTGTATTATCAATATTCTAGCATAGCAATTGTGTTCTACTAGTTTGGAACAAACTTATGTTCAAATTATGCTTTTACATCAGTATGTCACCTCAGGTTATTTATTTAATCCTTAAGCATCAATCTCTTCATCTGCAGATGGGCATTATTAATGTCTCCTCAGAGGGCTGTAAATAATAGCCAGTAAATAGTAGCTCTTTGTGTCTCTATTTGAATATTCCATATACTGTTGTTTCCATCAGTAAGTCAGAAATTTATCATTAGGAGCTTGGTAGAGATGACGTATTTTCCAAAGGCATCGCTTCGATAGGTGGAATCCCAAGAGGAGGCCTGTCAGCATGAGCCCTTTAGCCGCCTCAGGAAATGACAGGAATTTCAAAGACAAGAACGTCATCTAGATGTGCTGACCACTCACACTCTGGACCCAGGAATCATCCTGGCTCAGTGTGTCTTTCTGCACTTCACAGCTCGAGTGTGTGTGTTTATTTTGTCCCCTAACTCTGTTCCCTATTTTCTTGTATGGAAAAATCAGAAATATTTGAGGATTATTGTTCAAAATTTCTTGTCATTGGAACAGAATTTCTCTCGGAACCTCAAAATAAATGAAATACAATGAAAATTCTCTAAGTATTTGGTTGATGAAATGCTTCAAAATAAAAGAGCTGTTTTAATATTACATTGTAATATTAATGCTCTTCTGGCTGCAAAGATGGTAGAGTAAAAATGAGGCTATGAAAAGAAAAGGAATCCAATCTGCTGTGCATGCCACCTCCTTTCTTTTGCCCACCCCCCAAAGAAACCTCTGATGTCTCTTCTAGGTTTAGATAAAAAATAAGGTAGAACCTAGATGACAGTATGTCCTTTAAGCAGATAAATGGATATAACTAATATAATAACACACAAGTGATGTATTTTCTGGACAAAGAAAGCTTGAGAAATATGTACATGATGAAGTGTCAACCCAATTGACATGACTCATACAAAATAACTTAGAGAGACAGAGGAACAGAGACAGAGAGACAGGAGATGACACTACTAAGCATTGCAAGGATGAGTGAGTGCTGATTTCAATAAAGACATTCTCTTGTGATTCCACACATGTATCCAAGCATAACTGCATATGCTAGTTTGACAATGTAACAAATGACTTTGCCTTTTTTTCTGTTGTTATCAAGATGCTACTAATACACCTGGGCATTCTTCCTCAGCTACAATTGTGTATAGCACACCTTGTAGATGACATTTAGGATTGCAATAACTCTTGGCTTCTTCTGTAAACATCTCTTTAAAGATTTAGGGTGTTTTGCCCCAGATTACACAATAGAGAGAAGTGATTGCCTCCAAATCTCAGAAAGCGTAGACTAAAGAATAATCAATTTCTTCTCACTGACTTGTTAGAGACTCTTTGACCCCACTGTTTAGTTCAATGTGCTATCATATTATTTGCAAGTGGAAAATGGGACCAACAGCCCCTTTATAATATAATTGTGTTAACATCAGAATTTGGCTGAGTAGAATGTGTTCAGAATGCATAGTCATCTCACAGTATATCTAATTTCATGTAATATCCAGGCATAGCATGGAAAATCTACCTTTGTGGGATTTTTTTCCAATTTTTGAAAATAGAAATAAAACTACCTTAAACCCATCACAACAATTTTAAAAATAGTTGGGATAAAGAATTTTCTCTTATATGTTCTTTCTAGCATGTTCACTGGTGTTGGAAATATACTGTCTGTTTATTGTTACTTTTGGTAGAAACTAAAAAAGCATAAAGGCTCACTAGAGATAAGTGTGTGATTATTATTATGAAATACGAAGACATCATGATAATAAATAAGATATAGAAAGAGGCGACTCATTTTGAAGTAGACTGAAGCAAGTCCCTTTGCTGACCCTGCCTACGAAGCATGGAGCAAAGGAAACAGGTCCAGTCTCCACCCTGTCGGGGCCAGAACTCAGCTCCTTCACGGCCATTGAATGATATTTCAAACACTTTTTTGTTTTGTTTGAATACCACAATAAAGAAAATCTACCTATTTAAAACTTTCATTTCTAGCACATTTTGGCAGAAACTTTTTTAATGCAAAATGACTCTTCTCCTGGATTCAATTTTTCAAATTTCTAGGTGACTG